GGACAGGGTTTAGGGTTTAGGGTTTAGGGTTTAGGGTTTAGGGTTTGGGGTTCGAGCTTAAGGGTTGTAGACCTAGGGTTTAGGGTTTAGGACTTGGGGTTTAGGGTTTTAAGTTTAGAATTCCCGGTTAGGCGTTTACCCTTTTAAGACTAGGGTTCGAGTCTGGGATTCAGGGTTTAGCATCTAGGGTTTAGGGTTTAGGGTTTAGGGTTTAGGGTTTAGGGTTTAGGGTTTAGGGTTTAGGGTTTAGGGTTTAGGGTTTAGGGTTACCCTGAAGCCGCGCCATGTCTGCCAGCCATTGTCCAGCCGTGGCTCTCTCTGATGGAGTTGGGGTTATAAGTTCCTAAACAATAAATAAATAAATAAATAAATAAATAAATAAATAAATAAATAAATAAATAAATAAATCAATCAATCAATCAATCAATAAATCAATAAATCAATAAATAAATAGATAAATAAATCAATAAATAAATAAATAAATAAATATATATATATATATACACATATATAAATATAGAAGTACATAAATACACAAATAAATAAATGCATGCGTTTTGCATGCATTTTGCATGCGTTTTGCATGCGTTTTGCATGCATTTTGCATGCGTTTTGCATGCATTTTGCATGCGTTTTGCATGCGTTTTGCATGCGCTTTGCATGCGTTTTGCATGCATTTTGCATGCGTTTTGCATGCATTTTGCATGCATTTTGCATGCGTTTTGCACAGACTCACCGGGCCCCGGAGTGAAGCTGCGGGGCCCCACAGCTCCTCGAGCTGAAGACCCAAAAGTCCATTTGGGGGCCCCGCTGCTCAGCACTGGCGCGTAAGTGCACGGGCCTGCAGCAGCAGCAGCAGCAGCAGCAGCAGCAGCAGTTGCAGCAGCAGCAGCAGCAGCAGCAGCAGCAGCAGTGGTGTGGTGGCAGCAGTGGCAGCAGCAGCAGTAGCAGTCTAGTAGCAGCAGAAGCAGCAGCAGCAGCAGCAATAGCAGCACTAGTAGCAGCAGCAGCAAAAGTAGTATTAGCAGCAGCGCTGCAGCAGCAGCAGCAGCAGCAGCAGCAGCAGCATTGCTGTTTCACCATTATTAATAAACAATATTAATAAACAAAAATGGCATTTAAAATAATTAAAAACATTTTTTATTTTCTTTTTTTACCTGGAGTGTCTGAGGGCCTCGCCAGACCCCCTCGGGCCCCGCCGCCCCCTATTGAGTACCTGAGGTGTACGTACACCTCAAACCCTAAACCCTAAACCCTAAACCCTAAACCCTAAACCCTAAACCCTAAATTTTGAAGACGGCAGTTGATTAAAAGAGAAGAAGTAGATCAAAAGAGGTGTTAAAAGGCAGAAAGAGGAAATTTAAAAAGTGAGGAGAAATAATAAAAAAAAAAAGAGGATAATTAAAAAGCAAGAGGAGACAATTAAAAAATAAAAGAGAAAATTAAAAGAAATAATTAAAAACAAAAAGAGAAAAATAAAAAGAGATAACTAAAAACCAAAAAAGCTAATTAAGTTCAGAAAAAAGAAGCAATTAAAAGAAGCAATTAAAATGAAAAGAAAAAATTCAAATAAGAAAGAGATAATTAAAATCAAAAAAAGACAATTGAAATTAAATATAAAAAGAAATAATTAAAAGTAAAAGGAAAAATCAAAGGAGACAATTAACATTTAAAAATTGAATGGAAAATTAAATAAGGAAGAATTAAAATAAAAAAATAAAAAAGAACAAATAAATGAAAGAGAAAAAAAATAAAAAGAAATAAAAAAGAAGTAAATAAGAAAGAAATAAAGAATTAAATCAAAAGGCCTAAATAAAAGAAATGAAATAAAAGAAAAAAGTAAAAGTAATTGAAGAAAATAAGTAAATGAAAATAAATAAGTAAATAAAAGGCATAAAGTGAATCAAATAAAAATAAATAAATAAAAATAAAAAGAATTCAAAATATGAATGTATGAAAAATAAAAAGAGATAAAAATGAATAAATAAATAATAAAAAGAGTTTAAATGAAAGAATTAAACAAATAAGTAACCAAAAGAATTAAAATAAAAGAATTAAATAAAAACAAACAAACAAATAACAAATAAATAATAAATAGAGATATATTAAATAAACAAATAAAAAGAATTAAAATAAATCAAAATAAATGAAAATAAATCAAAATAAATCAAAATAAATCGAAATAAATTAAACTAAATTAAACTAAATTAAACTAAATTAAAACAAATCAAAACAAATCAAGATAATGAATTAAAATTAATTAAAATGAATTAAAATTAATTAAAATTAATTAAAATTAATTAAAATAAAAATAAAAATAAAAATAAAAATAAAACTCACTTAATTCCTTGCCCCATAGTAGACGCTAGGGTGTATGTACCGGGGGCTGGGGTGTCTCCGCGAGCAGCAAAACCCCTCATCTTCGCCTCCCCCCCAAAACTGCGAAAACCCTAAACCCTAAACCCTAAACCCTAAACCCTAAACCCTAAACCCTAAACCC